GACGAAGAAGAAGTCCCTAGGAGATAGTACCCTTCAAGTAGCAAATGAGGTGTTTCAAGGCCTGCAAATGAGACACAGTCAGGTAATGCATGAAGGCCACGAAGGAGATGTTTGGGCTAGTGAGGCTAAGGTACTGGAGGCCACCAACGAGTTGATAAAAGACAATGGCATCTATGAGGGAAGAGCCATCGAAGAGAATAAGGAGATCATGAATATACTTGTGTTGAGAAAGAAATAAACCATCATTAGTATGGAGAACTTCTATTGTATTTAATAATCGACACAAATTAATGTGCAATCATTAAATTAAAAATACCCGCAAGTGCATGAATCTATTGAGGTATAGATTTTGTAAATACGGGGTCGATCCCACGAGGAACTGTCGGCTTACTACAAGTTCTAATTTGAGTATGTAAAGAACACTTATTTAACACAACACAAAAGCAGAATACAAATTGAAAGCTAAAAAAAGAGTAAATAAAGGTAAAATAAATGAAACAAACAAGAAACCAAAGAAAAACACAAAATTCACGTTTCGACCTCTGTCTCGTTTTTGGCCTATAACTTTCCAACCGTTTGTCCAAAATTCACGTTCTTTATATGGTTGGATTCAGAATAGAAAAATGAAGAACTCATCACATACCAAATTCCAAAAATAGTGGAAAATAAAAAGCTACCGGTCGTTCAAATAGTGGCGACTGGTCTTTTTAGGCAGATTCGTTTCCTCTGTTTTCAGTTTTGACCTCTGTCCAGTTTTTGATCTATAACTTTCCAACCATTTGTCCAAATTTCACGTTCTTTATATGGTTGGATTCAGAACAGAAAAACAAAGAACTCAGCGTAGACCAAATTCTAAAAAAAGTTACGAAAATAAACAGAATTCAGTGAAGAAAACACACAACGTTTCAAACAACACAAACATACAACAAATTTGGTGGGGGGGGGGGTGTTTGATTTGATTTGAGTGACCTAATTCTAATGCTTGAAAGTAATCAAACTCTAATTTTAACAAGAATGAGATGAAAATCAAAATGTGAAATTAAAATGTAACAAACACTAGGGTTTCAGAATCTACCCTAAACAATCCTACCCAAGTTCAAGGACACTCAAGTGATGAACTCCAAATGTGTTGATGAAGATGTTCGCAATCAAGACCAGGTCTAGTGGCTCAAGATGCATTGATTCTCTCTAATATAAGTAGAGTGCAGGGCTAGTGCTACAATACTTGTGCCTTCCCTATAACCAATCTAGGTGTCCTTAGTACTTCGATTTGATTACAAGAAAAACCCACTAAGTTCATAGAGAATAAGAACATCACAAGAACCCTAATAGTATGATGTTTACATTAGGCATTCAAGAAACCAATTCACATGGATGATTCTTACTTCATCCATTTGTTGCTTAGGAAAACATGAGGATACACATAATCCCAAGAACCTCAAGAAGCATGCTTTCAAGGGTGATCAATCAAAGAAAAACATACATCAAGAATATATTATTTTAGTGAATGGGAATTCATCAATAATATCTAGAAATTCATACACTCAAGGATAAAAACAATAGAGTACTCATGTTTAGGGCTTCAACCTAAGTCCTAGCTATGGAGTTTAGTTCCTCATACTTATTCCAAACACAAATTCAAAACAAAAATAGAAAGAGTTTACAGATTTTGTGAAAGTGGTGGAAGTTCAAAGTCTTCAATGGTGGAAATCTTCTTCATTTCTTGCTTGGTTGCCCTTGTCTTCCTCCTCTAGCTCTCAAGCACCAAAACCTGCTCTCAAATCTCTACAAATTGAATTATCCGTTGAATGGTTGATGGAAGATGCCTCTCTATGTTCCCTCATCCCTCTCTTTCCTCCTTTCATCATGGCACTTTGGCCTTTGTCTCCTCCTTGTCTCCTTGCTATGATGGGTTTTTGTCTTCACAAAAATACTATTAGTCTCAAAATATTGCACTCTATCAAAGTAATTGCTTGTTACCAAATGGTATGGTAACAAGAAGAATCAAGATGACACTATAGAGGTAAAAGCTGACCCAAGACAAATCTCTAGAGTTGTTGTAACATGCAGAATCAGTTGGATAGGCTATACTTGTCCAATGGAGATCAAATTCAGATATGTTGTAGTCAACATCCATTGGAACAAGTTTCATGAAGATCTTCACCTCATCCAAGCACCGGAGCATGCTGATCCAAGGCCAAGAAGTTGACCTACAAAGTGTTTGGTGGCAGCGTACAAGTGTTTGGCTTTGAAATTTTTGTTTTTGGTGCGGATAATCATGAAGTGGTTGTTGAGGGGACTGGGTGGGGAGGAGGAAGAAAGATTGGATGAGTGAGAAGAATAGGAAGTAGGAGGAAAGGGGCCATAGATGGAGAACGGGCATGAGGGAGTAAGATACTAAGCCTGGGAAGCACAGGTGATGAGGAGGAAGTGTCAGTTGCATAAGAGGTGAAGGGACAAGTGGTTAGGAGCACAATTGGAGAAGGTGCAGAGTGGGCTAGCGAGGCTGAAGTGAGGGTGGAGGGGCTGGAGATGGGACGACAGCAGTAGGAAATGGAATAGTGGTGTCGGCTGGAGTAAAGGCAGTGTAGGGAGGTGAACTGAAGGATGAAGCGCAGAATGGGTTGTGTCACAAGATGAGAAAGGAAAAGTCTTTTCGTCAAATTTGACATGGCAATAGACAAAAACACGAGAAGTAGAAAGGTTTAGGCATTGGTAACCGCTTAGGGTAAGGGGAATAGCCAAGGAAAAGACGAAGATGGGGACCGAGAGAGAAGTTTGTTAAAGTTGTACAGGCATAACCATGGGAAGCACAAACAGCCAAAGACACACATCTTAGTGTAATTGGGATCATCACCAAATAGGGCTTTGTATGGTGAGATGTTATGAAGCATGGGAGTGGGCATTCGATTAATAAGATACATGACAGCTTTAAAGGCGTTGGACCAATAAGGAAATAGTAAGAAAGCTTGATGAAGGAGAGTTAACCTAGTTTCAACTACATGGGGGTGACGACATTCAGCGGCGCCATTATGTTCAAGGGTGTGGGGTGGGGTAGTGAGGTGAGTGATGTTGTGGGTGGCAAGGAATATTTTAAGTTTTATGAATTCACTGCCGCCATCAAAATATAGGGTGATGATTTTGGTTTTGAAATAATTCTCCTCATCTATGGCAATCAAGTCATAGAAGGTTGAGTGTGATGTTGGATTCAAAAAAGCTGAAATTTTCAAAGTAACATCATAGAAAGTCTTCAAAAACATCACAAATATGACGGCTTTTTCCCAAACTTCATCATTAGGTGGACCCACCCTCTTATTAGTCTTAGATTTTCCCTTCCGTTTCCCACTCCCTTCAATGCCTTCATTTCTCTCTTCATCTAATTCCTCATCCTTAAAGTACATTAAGTAGGAAGAATCGAGACCATCTCCTATCCTATCAAAAGTTTTTTGAAATTTCAATGTCTCATTAAGCGTCAAATAAGTGGAGTTCCACCTAGTGGGCACATCTAGCACCACTAACCCCTTGCACTTTATTTTTTCTGTCTTAGCATACATTTTAAATTAACTCAACTGAGAAGGTGAGGATCTTACAAACTTCACCGCATCACGCTATTCGACTCCTTTCACCCATCTATTTTCTTTCGCACATAGCCAATTACCTTAATATTGGCAGCTGCATTATCCACGGTAATTTATGAGTATCTTCTAATGCCCCCAATCAATCAAACAATTTTCAAGAAATTTCGCAATGCTCTCCAACTTATGATTATCAATTACACAAAAAATTTCGATTATTTTGTGCATTTTATAGTCGAAATCAACGAAGTGGACAATGAACACCATATAATTCACATTTTGAACTGATGTTTTAAGTATTGGTTATAAGGCATATCCTATGTGAACAAAGGTCAACTTTCAACTTCTCTTTCATTTTCATGTACATTTCTAGAAGTCTTCTTCTAAAAGTTATATGAGAAGGTGGATGAAATTGTGGGCGTGCAACACTACAAAATTCCCTAATCCCTTCACCCTCCACAAAGCTAAAAGGTAGCTTATCTCGCACTATCATTCTAATACAAACATCTAGACAATCATCCTTTTTAAAATTCATAGAAGCAAGAGCATTACCCTTTGATGCATCAAATGTGAGTGTCTGTATGTTCTTATCCTTGTGTCTATAAGGGTAATGCAAGCATTGTTTGTTTAGATGCTTCTACATGTTGCTAGTCCCATTTTTCTTAGTATCACTAGCATAAGTAACACTACAATACTTGCATTCAGTGGCGGATCCAGGATTATGTGGCCAAGGGGGCTTAGTGTAAAAGTTCCGAAATTTTTCTACAAAGAAAATAATGCTAAAAGATAGAAAGATAGTACTTCCATCATAATTCATAACAAAACCAATAATACAAGTTACAATTGTCGACGACAAGTTTTCATATTATGAAAACGTTGCATTATAATTTCGTTATCAATACAAGCAAAAACATATCTCTCAATGTAAACAATCAAGCTATCAATCAACCATTGATCTCCCATTCTGTTGCAAAGTGGATTTTTAATAATATTCATGGCGGAAAATGCCCTCTCCACTAAAGCAATTGCAACTGGTAAAACTAAAGCCAATGTAAGAAGCAAATACACATAAAGAAATATTTCATGCATTCCTTTCTGCACCATTTTTTCCGCAAGACTACTAATCCATTCAAATTGAGAAAAATCACTACTCGAACACATATGATGAACATAAACACCAAGTTGATCTTCAAGCATCAATAAGTCTCTATCCGAAAAATCATAAGGATAAAATTGAGCAAGACGAACTAGCTTTCGTTTGTCAAAAGCTACAAAGTTATTTTTCGAACTCAAGCATGCCAAACAAGTAAGTAACTTAGCACTTACCTTGTTGAAGCAATCATTTAATTCTGCAAGTTGCCCATCATTGTAACAAAAAGAAGATGCTTGCTCAACCAATTCTTCAAACTCATTATCCATCATGAACTACAGGTTTTCCTTGCATGTTTTCACTAAACTCATTGCACTTACAATGTCTTGATCTTTCTTTTGCAATGCTAGAGACAAAGTGTTTGTTATTCCCAATATAGCTTTCATTACAAATAAGTGAAACACAAACTCAAAAGATTGTATTTCTCTCCATAACTTATAAGCTTCACCCGAACTATCATTAGGATTATCATCAACAATCATTTGAAGCACATTCACCATAGATGAGAACATAGACATGATACTAATCAATGTACCATAATGTGAGTTCCATCGTGTATCTCCGGCACGTTTGAGAGTAGTTTCTTGATTTAAGCCCCGCCCCGTTATAAGACAATCATCTTCAAAAGCTCTCACAAGCTCTTCTTGGTATTGTGCTCTAAGTGCATCGCGACGATTACAAGATGCTCCAACAACATTAACCAAACTATTAGCCGTTGTGAAATAAGAGTTGACATCAATATTTTTCTTTGCTACCACAACAAGAGGTAGTTGAAGTTGATGAGCAAAGCAATGAACATAAAATGCACAAGGTTGTTCTCTCAAAATCTTTGTCTTAAGGCCATTAAACTCACCTCTCATATTACTAGCTCCATCATTACCTTGTCCTCGTACCTTGGAAAATCTTAAATTCGCGGAAGAAAAGAATTCATCAATGGTTTTCTTTAGTGCACTTGAAGTAGTGTCGATTACATGTTGAACCCCCACAAACCTTTCAATTATTTGTCCTTTGTCATTCACATAGCGCAGCACCATCGCCATTTGCTCCTTTATTGAAACATCACGTGCTTCATCCACCATTATTGAAAAATATATGTCTTTTACATCACTCAAGATAAGACCAATGACTTCTTTAGCACAAGAATTGACAAGATCTTTTTTAATTGAAGGAGCTATTAACTTTGAATTTCCCGGAGCATTTTCCAACACAACGGCCTTAACTTTTTCATCATGATCCGCAAGAAATTGCAAGAGTTCTAAATAATTCTATTTATTACTTGATTGTGCACTTTCATCATGACCACGAAAAGAAAGACCTTGTCACAACAAATACCTAGTGCACTTAAGTGATGCATTCAAACAAGTGCAATAAGCTGTGCGAGCTTGGCTTGTTTGCTTGATTATAATTGTTTCAATGTGTGTAGTTTGATGCATCAAATTGTAAGCAAGTTCTCTAGCTTGGTTGTGAACATTACCAACCGGTCCAACATGAAGGTTAAATCTTTCTTTCGCCTTCTTCCAATTATTGAAGCCTACCCAAGTGAATGCATCACCATCCACTTGATCAAAATTAGATTTGAAGAGATAACAATGAAGACAAAACGCAGCATCTTTAGCAATACTATATTCCAACCAATCATGATCATCAAACCAATGAGCAATGAAGCGTCTATTAATTCCTGATTGATTATTTTGAGGGAATTTATAACTTCTAGGTTGACAATGTCCCTTTTGTAGATATGCTCTTCGGATCTCATCCCGAATATTAGGACTATAATCCGTCATTCGAGTTCTTAGTCCAGGGTCTGCCTGAAGATTAGCTAAGATCTCATCTACTTTGGTCTTGCATTTGAACTACCCGGATTAGACGGAGAAGGACTATCTATAGATAATTTTCTTTTAAAGAATCGTTCCATAAATCTACAAATCAATTAATTCAATCAATCATTAATTTTTTCCAAATTATCATATGAATATGAAAATGTCAATAACCCACTCTCAATATTCAATATACTCCCTAAACCCATATCAATCAATATTAAATATACCAAATTATCATATCAAATAGCAATCAATATTCAATATACTCAATCAATTCATATTATCAATCGAGCATAAACTCAATCAATCTACATTAATATGATTATCACTATGATTCATATCCATAAATTTAATTACATAAAAAATATCAATATGATTCATATCCATAAATTTCAAGCATAAACTCAATCAATCAATATGATTCATATCCATAAATTTCATTACATAAAAAAAATATCAATATCAACAATATATATTATCACTATAATTATTAATATAAATTTTGTCATGCTTATTTGTAGTTAAAAAAAATGGGCAGAGGACGGCGGCAGAAGGTGGTGGTAATCGGCACTGGGCCACCAGCGAAGAGTTGATGGAGGTTGTCGAAGGTTGGGGGAGGTTAGGAGAGGTTAGGGTTTGAGAGGGTGAGAAGAGGAGCTGTGAAATTGGGAATGAAGGGTTTAGAGGCAGAGTCGAAGTGAATCTGTGCTATGTTCTGTTTTTTTTTTATAATTTCTTTTAATTTTTAACCTGGCCCAAAACGACGTCGTTTTGAGGCCAGGTCAATTAAAAAAAAAATTGATTGACCCTTGGACCAAACGACGTCGTTTGGCAACGTTTGTTTAAAAAAAAAAAAAAAAAAGGGATGCGCAGCGCAGCTGCACAACAGACTTCAGAAATGGCCTAGGACTTTCATCGAGCACTTGGTGTACATACAAGAGGGCTTCCAACAGCAGTCCAAGGGGGCTTTCATGGAGTCCCTTGCCAAATTTCTAGCCTTCCAAGGGGTCGTCCGACCCCTCTTGTCCCAACGTGGGTCCACCCCTACTTGCACTTAACTCTTTTTTCAACCTCTTTTTTTATAATCTCATCTACCGCTTTCACATTCAATATCAAAGCATACTTTGAAATGGTTCCCACACATTACTCTTCTTCTTACTAGGTTTCCTTTTTCCAATACTAAGTTCTAATGGTGATGGATTTGGTGATTGTAATAACCCAAACCTTAATTAATATTTAACCATTAAACTATTAAGAGGAAATGACACTTTTGCCTCTAGAATAGTTTAGTAAGGGAGAAGTTGACTTTTTGACCGAGAAAGAATTTGACCTTTCCACTTGCATCGTTGCGTAGAGCACGACGAAAGAGTTCGTAGACACGGAGTGGACTCGAATCGGAGTTGTAACGAAGAAAATAAAGTCAAAATACATATGAGGGCAAAATGGTAATTTTGAAATCAGGATTTTTTTTAAAAACTGACTCTCTCTCTCTCTCCTCCCTCACACTTCTCTCTCGACCAGCAGCCCCCCTGTTTTAACTCACCACCTTCAAACCTCCATAACCACCGCACCCTCCACTCCCGACCGGTCCCTGCCCTTGGAACCGCTGTTTTTCACCAAAAAACGCTCGAGATCACGTCGGTGTTGACAGAACTTCCAAGCTTTCATTTTCTGTCGTCCGGCCAACAAATCGGAAGCGTGTGGCATGGTTTTCTAGCTATTTTTCATGCTCTAGCTGCTGGTTGGGTAGGATTCCAGAAATTTCAAGCCTAGCTATTTTCCATGAACTCCAAACGGATCTCGCATCTTGTGTGATTTCCGGGTTCAATGGTTTTGAACCATTGATCGTGCGATTGTGACCAAACCAACCATCGGATTGAGACCAGACTCATGGGACTTATGTCCTAGGTTTAAAGAAACGTTAATGTGAGCATAGGAGTAACTTTAATTGGATGCACGCACTTCTAGGAGCTGGGGGTCAGGATATTATTTAAATATTTATATCGAGCAGTTTTATTAATATATATATTATTATGGTAATTCAATCAGGCACCCAGGCACCAGTTGACTCGCAGGAGGGACCTCCAAAAGGTCCAGCGAGCTCGGACTAGCTATGAGTGGACTCTTCGTTTTCAAAAATGAATTTATACAATTCAGTTACAGTATTTGATCTTGAATAATTTGTATTCACAGATTAGTGTTTTACAAGTTGATATATGCTTTTAAATATTTTGATTTATATACTACCGAGTGAAATATTATTTAAGGATATATGAACAGAAAATTTAAGCTAAATATTAGATAAATGGCAGCAGAGTTTTAGATTTAACAGAAATTCAGTTATTTATCATATTTTTCAGAGATTTTAGATTTTCTTAAGCCACCTTAGGTACCCAGTTATAGAAACAGGTTGCCTTCAGATAAGACGATGTCTACAGACATCCAGGTTGCCTTCGGTATATGTTGCCTTCAGATATTACGATGTCCACGGACATCCAGGTTGCCTTCAGTTTTGTCAGCGTGCTTGACATTTGCCTCACGAGTTTTGGGGACGCCGGGACCGTGGGAGCCAGGAATGCGGATCAAGCTGACTATGGTCCCCTGAATCCTGCCTGTTTGCAGCTCGGGTTGACTTTATGTCACTGAGACCTGCCAGGGGAATTGACAGATTATCAGGAATTGACGGATATCAAGAATTAACATAATTAAAGGGGTACACCTAGGTGGTAGTTTTAAACTGATTTCAATGCTTTTAAGAGTTTAAAGATGATTATGAGTATGATTGACATATATTTATAAATATATGAGTGCATTGATTTCAGTATGTATATGATTAAAAGAATGAATTAGTTTTGTATAACTGTTTTTACAGTGGGGTTAGTATGTTCTTATGCTATTTTTCTTAAAACTTTGTTTTTGGGTCCACTCACCTTTTAAATGTTTTGCGCCCCCAGGGCGTAGACGTGCATCTGAAAGCCGCCATAGGGCAGTTTCTGCTTCCTACATCTCTTCAGTTTAGTGTAGTTTCTTTGACCCTCCAAATGTTCTTCTTGTAAATTAATCTGTATAGATGCTTTGATATTGCCCTTGGGCTCGAACTTTACTGTTGATTGTATGTATATGCATGCTGGAAGTTGGATTGTGTATATATGCTTGTTTTGACAAGTGTAATTTTGGGGAATGAACAAATTACAGGGGAGACTCTACCGAATTTTCGGTAGAAGTCAAGGCTAAAATGAAGTTAAGTTTGTAACCAGAAGGGCAACCAGGTCATTTGTGCTCGGCACTCGCCAAGTGTCGATCAAGAACAGGGTTCGGCTCGGATCCCAAAGGAGAATTTGGGTCGGGTCCTGTCAGTGATGCTATTGTAGGAGATACAACAGCATCACTACAAGGTACATAATCATCACTCCTACGCATTTTAGCCTCATTAGAAGCAAGTTCATATCGATAAACATATTAAAAATAGATTTAAACACAATCATCAAAGTTTTTCCATCCATAAATAAATTGAAAATATTTATCCTATCAAAAAAAATATATTAAGATCACATATCCTATCAACAAAACATATTACAAACATATACAAAAATAGGGTTAGTAGCAGATATTTACCTCCATTGCAGCTAAATTTTCGAAAATTTTAAAGCTCAACAGCAGAGATGCTAAACAATTGCAAATCAAAACAAAAATAGGGTTAGGTTACGAACGGTTCGGGTCAAGTTCATCGGTTTTGAAAAAATTAGACTCAAGAGCCGAACTGTGGACCTTCTGTTCGAGTCAAGTCCAAGGTTGACTTTTTCAGTTTGGTAAAAAAAACTTCTTTTTTGGTTTGATTTGGTCTGATTCAATCACTTCGGTCGTTTTATCGGTTTTAATGTCCACAGTTAGAAAACAGAAAAACAGAAGGAATACAAGCAACCCCAAGTCATGAGTCGTAGTTTTGAGTTCCTTTGCAAGTGGAAACCGAGCAAACGTCATGCAGGAATGAACCACAAGCGTTCGACCATGTCTATGAAAGTCACCGATACAAACCAAATCATCGACCTACAGTCCCTGGTTGACTCCCTCTACCACAGAGTTTAGGTACCTTTTCTCTCTCTCTCTCTCTTATTTAATGCCCTTTGGTAAGTGAGAAGTTGTGGTTAAAAGAAGAAGCTCAAATAATCAAAATCCTATTAATTCCCTACAATTTTTGCAGGGAAAAGCAAGTACTCAAGAGAAATGCTAATCAAACAACGCATTCTGTATTTCATAGC